CTTATTACCTTGTATTTTCTTTTATTAATCGTGACATTACTCGTCGGTACGGCGTTAATCCGATTGTCGATAAGTTTTTTAGAAACACCGTTTATAAAAGTATATAAATTGAGCTGTATTACTAAGACGGATGAAGTCGATTCAATTGCAGTTTTCTTTTTCAGAACGATACTGTTACATTCGTCACAATTACCATTTATCGTTTCCCATTTTGAAAATTCTGATTCAATCAAAGTTTGCAGAGTGACACCTTTTTTCCTTTTCAATGTGGACTGCATAGGTAATATAGCAAACAACTCTTTTCCAACGTAGTTACATTGCAATTACATTTAGCATTTGAACAATATATTAGGTGCTTCAATTCGACTTCTAATACATCATTGATTTCGGAATACGTCATGCGCAGACAGCATCAGTCAATGCGTTCGATACTCTATTTTTAAATATTTGTTGCCTGATACGTACACAATGAAACGCACATTGCAATGTTACATTAGCATAGCATGCGCAGACAGCATCAGTCAATGCGTTCGATACTCTATTGTTAAGTATTTGTTGCCTAATACGTACACAATGAAACGCACATTGCAATGTTACATTAGCATAGCACGAAACACGATCGTCATTGCAAAGGCCGAATATTTTCCATGTAACTATACTTACGGTCAGCATAACCGTAATTCTGTACATCATCAATGATATGAGGTATTGCCCATATACAGTCGTAAATTTTCACAGCCTTTTTCTCGGACGAATTGATTTGTGGTAGCTGAGATTTGAGTACAGATCTCAGTCGATTATATTCTGCAATGGCTCCCGAGTTTGTTCTAACGGATGCCGGATTGAAATTTATCAAATGTAGACCCTCCAGTGTACTCACTCGTGACAGACCTACATACACTTGACCATCAGTGAACACACTCGTTCCTAAATCCATCATTGCATCATTGCATTTTTATTGCGTAATTCCTTGACTTTTATGTACAGTTATTCCATAACTGAGAGACAATGGAAATTGTTTCCGATGTACCACTATTTTGTGGAATACTTCGAGTTTAATATCTACTCTCGTTATTATGACTTGTTTATTATCAGAAGTAACTATTGTAACGGTATCAATACGATTTCCATCAACAGAGCGATGAATCGCAATTACAATGCCTATTGTTCCATTGACAAGTCCCAAAGTGATATCAATGTTTCGTCGAATCATCACTTTAGCGCCAATTTTAATCGCTTTTACTCTTTCAATACCAGCTGTTTCCGAAACTTTTTCATCTTTGTCTTTTAAAATTTTGTGCACTTTTTTCTTCATTGCTGGAGAACAGTCGACATTATCTTCTGCTATCAGTAAAATTTCATCGCCATTAATTTTATCGAGCATCGCCGTGTTCAAAGTCGTGCACAAATAACACGTGGGTAATAAACATATTGTATCAACCGGTAATTGATTCATATAAGTGCAAAGTTCATTCAATCTTTCATCGCAACTTCCTTTGAAATTAATTTTTCTCGACTGGAGAACATTGATGTCAGAATCCGTTACCAAACCTATCCGAATTCTAGAAAGTATCTCGCGGTATGTGTTGTCACATCTTTGTCGCATATTAATCAAAAGTTCGTCGTATTCGAACAATCTCCACAAATCAGATCCACCCATGGTACCTAAATACTTCTGAATCTCTGATCGAGACATTATAACGAACGAAAATTGTTCTTTTACAGGGGGAAGCTGCAACAAGTCTCTAAACAGAAGAATGTGTTTTCTGCCAAAAAAACCGTCGTCTGTATCTGTCGTGTCGAAAATTTCACATAATCGTAAATTAATAAACATCATTGTCACATTCGAAATCATGGAAACCTCATCGATTATAAATAATTCGACATTCTTTAATTTCTCTCTCAAAGTTTTCAAAACCATATCTGACAAGTGCGTATACTTTGCCATGGATTCATGGGTAACAGGTAGCTGAAACATTCTATGGATCGTCAAACCATTGATATTGCATGCCGCGATACCCGTGGGAGCAGATATGGAAGTCACTTTTTTCAAATTTATTCCGATCCAATGTTTAATCGTTTCAATAAGAAAACTTTTCCCTGTACCACCCTCGCCGCTTACATACAGTCGCAGAATCTGATTTTTATTTTGCAAAATTTCGCATACTCTATCGAAGACTCTTTTCTGGTCTTCGTTCAATCGCGACATCATTTGCGATAAATCAATCGGGACGTCAATCTCACCAAATTCTTCCAGATCTTTCATCGCGCCGTCAACTTCTATCGGATTGCAATCCAATTCATCGTCGTCGGATCTCTCTTTGTCTGCTTTCAGCTCATTTTCGCGCATCGCGATTAATTCAGCTACGTTCTCAAAAGCTTTCTGTATTTCTTCGAGCCTTTATTGTTTTTCTTCGAGCCTTTCGTGATATTTCATCACCTTCGTCAAAGCAGACTCTGAATTCTTAAAGGCATCCGTGTAAGTCTCGTAAACGCCTTTCAGTTCACTCAAATCTCTCCACGGTTTAAACAAAAGTAGCGAGTAAAAGTATTTTTCGGGTTCAGTTTTGACATTAAATCGATAATGGTTAATTAAACAACACTTTTTTCGTTTTTTTAAAAATAAACCCGATACAAGTTTATAATATTCGACTTCGTCATTTTTTGGCATCTGTTTCGTAATTTCCCAAAATCTAGCAAAATCGTACAAATTCAATGATTCCAATTCCTTAGCTCTTTTCGGATAATGATCATCGATGAGCGACGGACAATAAATATTCGTAGATTCTTCATCGAGAGCTTTAATTTCATTGAATGTTTTAACTTTTCTGTTTCTTACTTCATTAACATCAATCCATTTGATAATGGTATCACTATCCGTACCATGCAAGGGATGATCTAGTAGTGTGTCTGCAGCTTCTAAAGCATCGCATTCTCTATTATTCAATGAACGCATCGCATTCTCTATTATTCAATGAACGCATCGCATTCTCTATTATTCAATGAACGCATTGAATGTTTTAACTTTTCTGTTTCTTACTTCATTAACATCAATCCATTTGATAATGGTATCACTATCCGTGATACCATGCAAGGGATGACTTAGTAGTGTGTCTGCAGCTTCTAAAGCATCGCATTCTCTATTATTCAATGAACGCATCGCAAAATTCCACAGTTTCGATGCCAACGGCTTATTGGAATCTATCATTGCAAAGTCCATATTGCATTTTTCCGACTTTGTCGTGTATTT